TGTTCACCCCATCACAGCTCTTGGGCTCCTGCTTTCTCCTTTCCTGCACCTCCATCCTGCAGGTTTCCTGGCTAAGTGCACCAGGATGTAAGTTCCATAAGGGCAGGGATCATGATGGGACTTGTCTGTTATGTCCGCAGGACCATAACAGTTTCCAGCAAACAGTAGGCTTGCTAAATACTTGTTGACTAATAGAACCATCGATTGGGAGAGATTATTCTCAATGGGCATCTTGCATTTCCATGTGTCTTGTGGGCAGAGGCACGGATGACCTCTTGTTCCAATCTAGTTCAGTGGATCTTTGCACAGTGAATTTGTTGAAGTACGGAGCGGCGGGCTGTGTCCCGCCACCCGGCTAGCTTTACCCGAAATAATTACACGGAAACTGTATTCTTTTAAACACTGCCTGACCCATTAGTTTCAGTTTCTTATTGGCTAGCTTTTACATATTGATCTAACCCATTTCTATTAATCTGTGTAGCCCACGAGCTCCCTTACCAGGAATGATCTTAACCTGCTTCTGTCTGGAGTGGGAGAATCATGGCGACTCACTGACGCAGCTTCTTTCTCCCAGCATTCTGTTCTGTTTACTCCACCCACCTATGTTTTAACCTATGAGGGCCAAGCAGTTTCTTTATTGCTTAACCAAGGAAATCAACAGATTGATATATGACACTCCCCCATCACTTCCCCTTTTTCTGTTTAAACAAAAAAAGGAAGGCTTTAACTTTAACATAGCAAAATTACATATAGTAAAACAGTTATCAAGCAAGAATTACAGTTACAATATTTATATCTATTTTATCTTTTATCATAACTAAGGAAAACTATAACTATCTATTCATTTTTCAACTCCATCAAAGACTCCAGAAGGATATAATACTACCTAGGTAAACAAGAAATAAGAAAACTCTAGAAATGACAGAGACATCTTGCTGCCTGGACAGTCACCCAAAGTTCTTTTGTACCGTTGGGGCATCCATCTTCAGCCTTCAGGCCCATAGTATCCAGCAGACATTTCCATGAAGCAGGAAATTTCAAAGACAGTTCAGTCACTATCTGCTGTGTCCTGCAGAATGTCTCGCAGACTCTTTCATGAGTCAAGAACCCCAAAAGACCGTCTCACCTTTAGGCAAGTTCAGCAGTCCTCTCTCTGTGGGTTCTCTGTGTCCATTTTATGCAACAGTCCAGGCAAGAGCAGTTTCTTGCCCAAATGGCTATCAAACTCCATAACGAGCCTCTTCAATGCCCCTCTTCCTCTTGAAGTAGCTGGGGCTGTCAGGAGCAGACATGTCTCATTGTCATGAAAAACCCTAAGTTATTAAAATATCTGCAGCCTTTGAGAGATATGAAGAATGCCTATCTGAAATATATCTCTATATATCTAGAAAATCTAAGTAACATGACTACAAATTTGACTATTATTTATGATTATCCATCAACAACCTATATTTCCTATTATACATTACATTTTAAATGAACTACACAATCACAATACCTTAATCAAGATCAGAAATACATATACATATAACAAAATTGACTGTAAAATCCACACCAATGCAAATTACTCATACCTATATCATTTCCCCCTTTAAATGTAAAAGAACATTTACAAACAATATTTTGGGAACATGGGCGCAGTTTTTTCTCTCCAAACTGCTTCCTGCTGAATGGGGGCGTCGTTAATTAGGTCTTTCATGGTATAACCTGTGTGCTAGTTTCATCTCAGTTGGCAGTTGAGCGAAGCAATTTTTTGAAGATGTTCACAACAACCTTTCAGGAGGGCGTGGTCTATCATACCAAATTGTAATAGAAGAAATCCACAGGGTCTGGTCCTCTGTGAAAACAAAAGAAGACCCTTTCCAAAGTATCATATCCTTAGACCCAAATTTTGAAATCGTAATACCTTTATATCCATTCTGGTTTAGCTTGGCAGCCCATGTAATGAAATGTCTGTCTGTACTTAGCTCCTTTACAGTCAAAAATTTTAAAGAAAACACAATGTACATAATCCAGACTCTCTGTGAATTTTCCATTTTTACGTGGCTTATTTTTTTTTATTTTTTTTAATCTCTTAACTATCTGTACTCTGTCTCTTTAAAGACTTTACCCTTTTTTAAAGACATTTACTTTATTTTCTATATTCTTATTTTTCTCTCTCTCAAGCCTATGTACATTCATCCAACACTGTGATCCATTGAGGTCTGTTATGTCTGAATCTGTTTTATTGTGAATCTGTAATATTTTTACTATCCAGGAGCATTTCTTAAAATGTTAAGCACTTCTTAAAAACTTAAGTTGCACCATGTACAGGTAATACGGTACCACCTGTGTCCTGCCCAGTCTAAACCTTAACTGTGCTGTTATTATGGTAATTACGGTAGTTCCTGCCAACCAGCACAGTTCAGCAAGGAGCAGCCACTCCTGCCTCAGATCCATTTGGTGCCCCTGAGCTGTGCACAGTTCCAGGCACACAGCAAGTCCTCATTGGAGCCGCACTCAGCAGTTTAATTTTGAGACTGAGCATGCAGCACAGAAACTCTTTTTATCCAAGTTACAACCAAATCTGACACGCAGAGCACTGCGCAGTCTGAAAACACGTCTCTTCCACCATGCTCTTCCGCCTGCCTAAGCCTGATTCTGCCATCTGCCCAGGTGCAGGCGGGGAGCGCTGAGAGCACTCTCCTTCCGATCCCAAGCGGGAACACAAACATCCAGTCCCATAAAATCCATTGAAATGCTTTAAAGCCAGAGTTTGCACTGGCGGCACAGTCCCAAGAAGCCGCACTTTAAAATGACGCAGCTTTTTTTTCTGCTGCTGTTGCCGAATCAGGAAATCTCTCTACAGCACGCCACCAACAAAAAGCAAAAATCTGTGTTAAAGTCTCTCTCCCTTATTTTTAAGCCTTCTCAGGTTTTTAAGTGGATTTAGCCCCACGTTGGGCGCCACTCTGTTGAAGTACGGAGCGGCGGGCTGTGTCCCGCCACCCGGCTAGCTTTACCCGAAATAATTACACGGAAACTGTATTCTTTTAAACACTGCCTGACCCATTAGTTTCAGTTTCTTATTGGCTAGCTTTTACATATTGATCTAACCCATTTCTATTAATCTGTGTAGCCCACGAGCTCCCTTACCAGGAATGATCTTAACCTGCTTCTGTCTGGAGTGGGAGAATCATGGCGACTCACTGACGCAGCTTCTTTCTCCCAGCATTCTGTTCTGTTTACTCCACCCACCTATGTTTTAACCTATGAGGGCCAAGCAGTTTCTTTATTGCTTAACCAAGGAAATCAACAGATTGATATATGACACTCCCCCATCATGAATTGCCTCAGAAAACAAAGATAGTGCAGGGTAGTTTTATTTGCTGTCCTTTATGATAAAAATTCTATCAGTGCAAATCACCAGCGGGTTTTCTTGTAGTCTATTATAAAACATTAGGCTTCGCTAAACTTGAAACTCCTTCCATAGGACTTGTGGATTAGGAGAAGCTGACGTGAGTATGAAGCGTGTTCTATTTGCTGTGTCCCAAGTAATAAAAGTCCATTGTCTCTAGCCCTGGAGTTCTTTGTCTTCTGCCAGCGTCCAGAAGACTGTGTCAGGACAACTGGTTAGATTGTAAGTGGAGAATCTCAGTTCCTTCCGAGTTCTTGCTTCTGGTCTTTATCAACTTTAGCTGGGATAATTAAGACAATGCCACCTTCTCCATCCCTCCCAAACAGGTACCTGCCTGTGATATGCCAAAGACTCCCCAAACAGCACTTCCAGCCAGTCAGATCCTGTCCCCATGACTACCTTCACCTCTCCTCACCCTCCAGCCCTGCTCCAGCTCAGCAACCACCTGTCTGCACACATTCTTCGCTCATGTGTTTGCCCTGGTCACACTGTTCCCTCTACATTGGTTGCCCTTTCCCCTTTCGTCTATACCTTATTTAAGGCCAGCATACTTCAACAACTTTTTGGTACCCAGTCACAATATCCCTCTCTCTCATCGCCCCCACTCCACTCGTTTGTCAGGGTTCTGGGAAACTGTATTGTGCAGGGGTTGGTCTTGGTAGGATGGTGGACTGAGAGGCGACATTCGCATGGGATGCAAAGAATAACCACCGAGTAGAATTGAAATCCTGAAAGAGGGTCAAGAAGAGGTGAGTATGTAAAGACAGGTGAGGTCCCAGGCTCAGGTAGGCCTATGGCCATGGGGGCCCATTTTCCCGAGGGTAGATGCTCTAAGAAGAGCATTGAGGTCTTAAGAGGTGGCTCCTGGCAACCCTTCTGCTCCCTGTCCACCCCTCTGCTTGTGTCGGCCATCAGAGCCTCGCTCACAGACCAGGAGCCTCGCATTGACGCGGGCCCGCGCGTGAGTCAAGCCTGCATCACGGCGCCCCGCCGCCAGGGTGGCCTTTCGGAAAGCGAGGGAACAGTGCGCGCCGCGCTCCGCCCAGCTCCGTTCCGCTCCGCAGAGCCAGTGCGGACAGGGCGCGGGGAGGGCGGCAGTCTGTCGGGGCCTTCGCAGCCACGCGCTCCCTCCGCCGCGGCATCTGCGCCCCGGGGTGGCTCCCCAGAGCCCCGAGCGAGCGAAGAGCGGGAGCAGGGTTGGGACTGACGGCAAGGGAGGGAACGAGGAGCCAGCTGAGCCGCGTGCGCCGGCGCGCGCAGCTCCGGGTCCCCCCAGCCCCGGACCGGGCCTGTCGCCGCCTGACTCCAGTTGCCCTCGGGAAGGACGGTGCACCTACGACCCGTCGGGGACCACGGTCACTCGGCGGTAATCCAGGGGCCGAATCTACGCGACGGTCCACGCGGGACAGGTGAGTCGCCGTCTGATTCCCGTCTGGCGTACCCAGGCCAGCCACGGCAACTTTGCCTGCTGCGGCCCCGCCCCAGCCTGGAAGGCCGGAGGCCCCTGGTGCGTGGCGGCGCTCCACCCGGTCCGCCCGACCCAGCGCTGGCGCGGGGGCTCCTCCTGGCGCTCCAGCCGCCGTTGCCTGGCGACAGAGCCCCGGGGCGGCGATGATCTGGCGCGGCAAGGGTGCTCAGCAGCTCCTGCACAGGTTGGACTTGGGCTTCAGCTTCTGGAGCTCAGGATGCCCCAGAACTCCGGAGGTAACAGGACAGCTGCAGAGGCGAGCACCAGCGGAGGACCAGCGAGGCCAGCTCGGTGGGTCCTTGTGCCTGGAGTGCGCCCAAGGCGCAGCTCCACCAGGAGGCTCCGGAGCAGCTGGGGACCCCAGCCCCAGCCACTTGGTCTCGGGCCCGTGACCTTGACGGTAACATTGGCTAGAGAAGCAGTATTTTCATGCCGAGATAAATATTTCATTTCCAGTTCCGGGGCTGCTCCTCAGTGAATTCGGAGTTAGAATGGAAGAGCTCCTTCCTCCCCCGAGGAAAGCGCATCTGGGGACCTATGGATAGAGATAGGAGGCGTGCACTGGGGGCCACAGTCTAGAGGGGCCTGCTGTCGGGAGAGAGGCTTCCGCCACATTTATACCTGTGCAGACGGTGCTCTGAAGGGATGTTCTCAGTATGCCAAGGCTGCTCCCCCAGGGGCGCGGCCGCCTTGGAAGGAAGCCCAGTGCTTCAGCTATCTCTTCAGCTCTGTCACAGGTTCAGGTTCAGAAGTTCTGAGGCTACTCGGACCCAGTTGCTGTCAAGTGGACTTTATTCTTTGAAAATTTTCCTCCGTCCCTCTTCCCACCCTCCCTTCCTCGGTTCCCAACCCCGTCCCTCCTCCCTTCTCTTTCTCTGTCTTTTTCTCCCACCCTTTCGCTCCCCCTCTTTAGAAATAGTTTAATGGGCCATATGAATAAGGAGATTTTAAAGTAGAGCCACTTTGGAAGGCAGTTTAGCTGTGAAGAAGAGGCAAGCTGGGTTGGGTTGGGTTGGAGATATGGGGATGAAGAAGAAAGATCGCCATTGCCACTGTTAACAAGAACTTCCGGGGACTGGGAAAATCCTGGAATGGCTCTATAGTATCTGTCAAACTTTGGTGGGTTTCAAACTGTGTGGAGCATAAGCATCTTGTGCCTTCTGCGCTTCTCGCGTTGTATCCTATCCAGTAAAGTAGATCCATCTCCTGGAAGGAAGGACTTTCAGGTCACACCTGGCTGCCCTTGGCTACGGACAAGGCCATCAGAGGTTGTAGCTCCTGTGGTGCCTTCTTCTCTAATGGAGCAGCTGTGGCCAAGTAGGTGGTTGAGTTGAATAGAGGATTTCTGCAGCTTAGCCTTCAGTGACTCAGTGCAGGAGGTGAATCGTGCCCACCAGCTGATCGGAGTTTGCTTAGCCTGAGTCACACAGAGTCGTGTGTCAGCTGTTTGTGGGATCAGTGCAGTTCTTTAGCAGCTCTCGTGAGGGGACTGGCCTGAGCACCAAGTGATTTAGGGGTGGGTGAATCTTCAGAGTAGATCTCAGTTTGCCTGCTGTTAACATGGGCCTGCTGAACTCTGTCCCCATGGGGATGGCCAGCAGGGTCAGGCTGCAGAGGAGTCACTGTGTTTGTTGTCACGGTCTGGCCAGTCCCTGCATCACGGAACATCTGTTTCCACAGTTGTTAAGGAGGATGCTGTTGGTACCATTTTACCCAGTCTCACTCTGTGACCGGTGCTAGACATAGCAGCTGCTGCCAGATATTGGGTTCCCACCTCTTCCGCTGTGGATCTCAACCAGAGATGATTTCCCCTTCTCGATGCTGTGCTCCTGAGCGTGTGTGTGTGTGTGTGTGTGTGTGTGTGTGTGCATATGAAGGTGGCCAGATCCTGTATGATTGAACCCACAGCTCAGCTTGAAGTGAACCTGTTTTTAAGTCCCCCCCTGGATGCGAAAGCTAGGATGAGAACCAGGCTATTGTGAGATAAGTAATGTGACCGTTTATTTACAACAGCTCCTAGATGGCTCCAACAGAGAGACCTGGACTCACTGGTATTGTTTATGACTGTGGCCTGTCCCCAAGCTGGGGTACCTGCTGAGTAGATTTCAGGGGTTCTTTCTCCTTGAATGGGTCTTGCCATCTCCCTACTCACCTGTCCTATCTATAACAGATCTGGAAGCTTCAAAAGAAATGCTCAGAGCTGATGTTGGCCTTTTCCTATAAAGGAAGGAGAAGAATGGGTCTCCTACTTTTCTGAAGGATTCTGGACTTCTTGTCCTCCCCTTATAAAGGGTCTAGATCTAAGGCTGACCTAAGATGCATTCACTTAAAAAGTCAGGATTTTCTCAAGGTAACAAGAAAAAATGGGAGCTGACTCGTGGAACTACAGTTGGCTACTGGAAGAGAGAGAGAGTTGACATTGTCTGTCCACTCTGAAGTCAATGCCTTCCCTATTTTGTCTGGACACCTATTCCATGACCAATAGAAACAGACACGAGGACTCCAGAGCAGCATCCTCCTGCTTGGTGCTCTCCCGCCCCTCGGGCTCTCCTGTCCAATTCTGCTGCAGTAGGACGATTCATCATTAATCCGTCTAAAACCGCTAAGATAAGCAGCAGAAGAGTTTTAAAAAGAAGGAGGATTGGACGCTTCCCTTCCCCCCACAGACAAAGTCTAACTTATCACTGACTCCCAGGCTACGCTGCAAGAAATCTTGACAGCCAAACATCCGAGAACCAGGGTGGGAAACGAAACAAAATCCTTGCACCTCAGCCCTTGTGCCAGCCTCCTCTGAGGAGCATTCTAGGCTGCTCGAGGTCGGAAGCACAATCCTGAATTGCTGGTACGCTATCCCAGGCACAGTGAGGCAGTGCTCTGAGAGAAATGCCCCCTGCATCCCAGGCCCTTCTGGTACCTCTCCTCCTCTTCCCTCTCTCCATTCCTCCCACCCCTACCTTTTCCCACCCAGATAGTGTCTCAGGTAGCTCACCCTGTAGCTGAGAATGACCTTGAACTCCTGACCCTTCTGCCTCCCAAGTGCTAGGATTGTAAGTGTGTGGTACCACATGCAAGATTTTAGCAGGGGAAAAACGCAGCTCTGGACTGCAGCACTTCGTGCCGTGGCTGGCATGCACAGTGAATACCCAGCTTTTTATTGAGGCCTCTGTGCTGTGCTGAGTACTTACAGGCCATCTCCTTCAATCATCCCCACGGTCCCATGAGATGGATATTGCTATCTGTAGTTTATAGATGTGGATTTTGAGGTTCAGAGAGGTTAACTAATTTGCTCAAGGTCATTCAGATTAGTGAGTGGCAACCTGAGACTTGGCACTTGCTTCTGTCAGACGTCAAATTCCAGGCTCTTAACCACTTTGTGATGTGTTTCCAACAGCAAGTTCTTAATAAGTGTGGCCAACAGCGTAGGCATTTATCAAAATGAAGCTTTATTAAAATCTGTGGGCTCTGATCTTCAAATTAGTACCCAAGGGAAAGAAGAGTCCGATTTCTGCCAGCAGGAAACTGGTATAAAATGACCACACCCATATTGCCAAGGTTTAAGGGCTATGACATTTGGTTCCAGGAGAGTCAGAGTTCAGAAAAAGACCTTAGGCTCTATCTAGGTGCTTTCTGTGCTGGTCCTGTCTTTCTCTTCCTGACTTGACAGCTCCAGATTTCACTCCCTTGAAGTTTGTCTACTCAGGGCTTGTGCCTGGAGCCAGGAAAAATGAGGTGGAGCAGGTTGGACGCTGCCCTGAGAATCTCTGCATCCGCAGAATCAAGGACAGCCGGGTGCTGCTGGGAGCTCTGGTGTGTCAGGTTTCCCTGCTGGACAGTGTGTGCCAGGGATTTACAGTCTCTGATGAGGCCCAGACCCCAGAGCCAAGCTGCTGGCACAGCACGGTCGGTTATTTACCGTAGTTGCTGGCAGGGGCTGGTGAAGAGGGTCTGCTTGCTTCCTGGTCTTACATTCCATGGAGGCTCGCCTCTTCTTAGGCCTCTACCCCTGTTTCCTGGGCTGTTCTAGGACGACTGGCATGTGGCTCCTCTTGTCTGTCTGTCTTTCCCACACTGTCCTAGCCTGCCTCCCACCCCCAGACCACCAGAGAGAGATCTCGAAGGGGAAGTTTCTGTAAATAAGGAAGGATAACTGAAATGTAAGCATGAATGGTACCCTGCCCCAGCAGACAGAAGTTATCCAGAAACCTTTGCTTCAGGGGCAGCCATTTCGTGGTAATGCAATCTGCTGATACTTGTTCTTTCTCTCCTCTTTTCATGAGTAGTTTTCTTTTTTTAATACCAAGGTATTCATCGATGTGCAAATTCAGCTATTTAAAAACACATAACTAAATATCACTGTGCACAGGAAGCTCCTATGTGAGAACATACTCAGAGGCTGTATGAATTATTACTGAGTCATGAAGGAATTCTTATCTCAGAACCAGGTAGGTTTTGTTGGAGAATGGTTCTGGGTCCAGTGAGTCTTAGGCTGCCTCTGTCCACAACTTGGAGTTGAGGTGTAAAGACCCCTTTCTTCTTTAGTTCTTATGGGGTGGGAGTGAGACCTACTAAGGGCCAGAGGAACCCCAGATCTAAGCCCTGGCAGGACGCTTTCGAGCTTACCCAGCAGGTCGCCTCACCCCACTCCGTCATTTATACTTATTGGTTTAGCTAGAATTTCTTATGTGCCACTAATTTGCCACCTATTCTTTTGTTCACAAATAGACTTCACTGGTCCATTCTCCCAAAACCCTGCCAATTATATTTTTCTCTCTGCGACTGGAGACCCCTGTGGTTTAATGGCCCGCAGGGGCTGTAAGCAGAGCAGAAGGGGCTATTCACAAAAGATGTGACTGTCACCCAGTAGGGTGGTCCCAGCAGGTGCTGCCAGATGGGAAGCCAGTGAGGATGTAGACTACCTCTTCTTGTGGAATCTAAGGGAAGGGGGGCTGGGGTGTTTTCCTGCTGAGCTGTTGGGCTGGTTCCCAGAATGGCTGGTGGGCGCTGTCCACGGTCCTGCCACACCCGGAAGCCAGCTGCCTACTGGTAATCTGGGACTTCCTTTAACAGCCAGGAAGACTCTGCTTGACCTCTCGACCCAAGAGTCGTATGCTGTTAGTTTCAGAGAAGGACCCAAGGGAGTAAGGAAGCTCTTGACCTCAGGGAGAGGCCATGGTCCATCAAGTTGTTCCACTTGGCCTGTGGCGGTGCCCCGTTCTGCACGGCCGCAGGACACACTACAGGTCTTCCCAATCAGTGCTAGAGGGTGCCTGTGATCCAGAAACCACGATGCCCATCTCTCTGGAAATCGCTTGGGGATGACCCAGGGTTGTGAAGCCTCCTTCATTTTCTGCAATGTTGCAGACCAGTATTAATCTTTCTGGGTACCACTATTTGTAAACA